TTTTACAATCTCAGGAGATTCCCTTGTATGCCTACACCACCACGGCCCTGGGTTTCAAGCACAAAACTGGGCAGCTGTTTTGGCAGACACCGAGCCAGCTGCAGGAGTATTTTTTCATACCCCTATGGTGCCTGGAACCCCAGTGACACAGAACCATTCACTTCCCTGGAAAGGGGGCTGAAGCCAGGGAGCCAAGTGGTCTTGATCAGCGGGTCCCACTCCTACAGAGCTTAGCAAGCTAAGAACCACTGGCTTGAAATTCTTGCTGCCAGCACAGCAGTCTGAAGTCAACCTTGGAGGATCGACCTTGGTGGGGGGAGGAGCATCTGCCATTACTGAGACTTTAGTAGGCAGTTTTCCTCTGACAGTGCTAAGGAGGCTGGGAGGTCTGGGCTGGGCATGGCAAAGCAGCTGTGGCCAGACTGCTTCTCTAGATTCCTCCTCACTGGGCAGGGCATCTCTGGAAGAAAGGTAGCAGCCCCAGCCCGGGTCTTAGAGACAAAACCCCCATCTCCTTAGAACAGAGCACCTGGGGGAAGGGGCGGCTATGGGCACAGCTTCAGTGGATTTCATCGTTCCTGCCTGCTGGCTCTGAAGAGAGCAACTGATCCTGACAAGAATAATTCCGCCAGCACAGCACACCAGTTCTGCTAAGGGACAGACAGCCTCCTCAAGTAGGACCCTGACCCCCATGCTTCCTGACTGAGAGAAACCTCCCAACAGGGGTCGACAGACACCTCATACAGGAGAGCTCCAGCTGGCATCAGGTGGTACACCTCTGGGATGAAGCTTCCAGAGGAAGGAGCAAACAGCAATCTTTGCTGTTCTGCAGCCTCCACTGGTGATACCCAGGTGAACAGGGTCTAGAGTGAACCTCCAGCAAACTGTAGCAGACCTGCAGAAGAGTGGCTGACTATTAGAAGAAAAACTAACAAACAGAAAGCAACAACATTAACATCAACATAAAGGATCCACACACAAAACCCCATCTAAAGGTCATCAGCCTCAAAGATCAAAGGTAGATAAATCCATGAAGATGAGGAAAAACCAGCATAAAAATGCTAAAAATTTTAAAAATAAGAATGTCTCTTTTCCAAATGATCACAACTCCTTTCCAGCAAGGGCACAAAACTGGACAGAGAAAGAAATTGACAAATTGACAGAAGTAGGCTTCAGAAGGTGGGTAATAACAAACTCCACTGAGCTAAAGGAGCATGTTCTAACCCAGTGCAAGGAAGCTGAGAACCTTGATAAAAGGTTACAGGAACTGCTAACTAGAATAACCAGTTTAGAGAGGAACAAACTACCTGATGGAGCTGAACGTTGTGAAACATACGGAAGTATCAATAGTCAAATCAATCAAGTGGAAGAAAGGATATCAGAGATTGAAGATCAACTTACTGAAATAAGGTATGAAGACAAGATTAGAGAAAAACGAATGAAAAGGAACAAACAAACCTCCAAGAAATATGTGACTATGTGAAAAGACCAAACTATGATTGATGGGTGTACCTGAAAGTGATAGGGAGAATGGAACCAAGTTGGAAAACACACTTCAGGATATTATCCAGGAGAACTTCCCCAACCTTGCGAGACAGGCCAACATTCAAATTCAGGAAATACAGAGAACACCACAAAGATACTCCTCAATAAGAGCAACCCCAAGACACATAATCATCAGATTCTCCAAGTTTGAAACAAAGGAAAAAATGTTAAGGGTAGCCAGAGAGAAAGGTCCCCACCCTTTGAGTGTGAGTTTATGACATGGGAGCGAGGGAAGGTAACCACAGTGGATCAACCTGGCAAACACTACCTGAGAGTCATGTGGTCAAGATTAATATCAACATGATAAGGCATGGTGATTGCATACACCCTTGATATGATATGATGACAATTACAGTTCATCCCTGTAGTCTTCCTCTTGAAAACCTTAAGTACTAAAAATAAAATCGTAAGCCCTCAACCACTGAAAAGACCCCCTCTTGGCCAAGGGGACCCCAGAAAAACCTTAAAAGAATTTGCAGGCATGATGGGACAGCAGGTCAGACACACTTTATTATAACTGCTCCCTTTTGCAGTTTAGACACAACAACTGACCAGCACTCAGGTTAAAATAAAGATCATAAGACTGATGGAACAATCTCTTTGTGGCAGTGAGATACCAAGTGGTAAATAAGACCTAAAGCCTTGCCAGGCAAGAGTTAAGTCACACACTCCTACACTTAAAGAATAAAGTATGAGGGCCGGGTGCAGTGGCTCATGCCTGTAATCCCAGCACTTTGGGAGGCTGAGGCGGGTGGATCACGAGGTCAAGAGATCGAGACCATCCTGGTCAACAAGGTGAAACTCTGTCTCTACTAAAAATACAAAAAATTTGCTGGGCATGGTGGTGCGTGCCTGTAGTCCCAGCCTCTCAGGAGTCTGAGGGAGGAGAATTGCCTGAACCCAGGAGGCAGAGGTTGCAGTGTGCAGAGATCACGCCATTGCACTCCAGCCTGGGTAACGAGCGAAACTCCGTCTCAAAATAAAAAAAAAGAATAAAGTATGTTCTAATGGCCACAAGCCTTTTCTTCTATCAACTAAACAAGCACTGGCCTGGAGATAAGCAACATTAAAACAACTACAGCTCATCCACCGCCAGACATTGACCAACTGATCCCCTGCTCCACCAGCCATAACTACAGCTTTGACTGGACAAAAGACTGATTTTAGTAACTTTCTCCTAATAAGACCACCAACCATGGACTGGTTCTGGCTGGTTTACAGAGCCTGAGCATTTGAGTGCCATCTTGTCCTGAAAAGACTTTTGATATATAGGGTCTAATTGTAATAGATACAAAAGTTAAAACATATAGGGTCTAATTGTAAGATATAAAAGTTAAAACATTTAAGGTCTAATTGTAATACATATAAAAGTTATGTCCCGGGCTAGGCACAGTGGCTCGTGCCTGTAATTCCAGCATTTTGGGAGACTGAGGCAGACGGATCACCTGAGATCGGGAGTTCAAGACCAGCCTGACCAACATGGAGAAACCCCATCTCTACTAAAAATACAAAATTAGCCAGGTGTGGTGGCTCATTCCTGTCATTCCAACTACTCGGAAGGCTGGGGCAGGAGAAATGCTTGAACCCAGGAGGCAGAGGTTGCGGTGAGTCGAAGTTGGGCCATTTCACCCCAGCCTGGGCAATAAGAGCAAAACTCTGTCTCAAAAAAAAAAAAAAAAAGGTAAGTCTCTACTGGCTGGGCACAGTGGCTCATGCCTGTAATCCCCACACTTTGGAGGGCTAAGGCGGGTGGATCACCTGAGGTCAGGAGTTAGAGGCCAACATGGCAAAACCCCACCTCTACTAAAATACAAAAATTAGCCAATCATAGTGACATGTGCCTGTAGTCCCAGCTACTCAGGAGGCTGAGGCAGGAGAATCGCTTGAACCTGGAAGGCAGCAGTTGCAGTGAGCTGAGATCATGCCACTGCACTCCAGCCTGGGTGACAGAGCAAAACTCCGTCTCAAAAAAAAAAAAATAAAGTTAAGTCTCTACTGAAAAGTGAAAATGGAACATACACAATAAGCATATTCACTCCCTATGCATATGCACAATCCCCTCTCAGGAGTATTCATTGCTCCTCCTATAACCTGCTGAATATGTATACTTGGCCAAGCCATTCAACACAAATCCCTGTTCCATCTTCCCTTCCCTCAAAGTGCTGCCTTTCTGTCTAAGTTTCCCTCAATCAGGATGGCCACCCTGCAGGTTGTAACACTTTATAATAAATAAAATCTCCTTTCCAAACTTATAAATTGTGTGATTTTTAAGTTGACAATCTATAACTCCAGCCTAACTATGAGAAAAACATCAGACAAACCCAAAGGGACATTTTATGCCTGAATGTGCTTCATTCTATGCCTGAACAGTGCTTCTCAAAACTATCCAGGTCTTCAAAAATAAAATCTGAAAAATTATCACAGATCCAAGGAAGCTAAGTAGAAGCCGTCCTTCTCAGCAAACTAACACAAGAACAGAAAACCAAACACCACATGTTCTCACTCATGAGTGGGAGTTGAACAATGAGAATACACGGACACAGGACAAAACTAAGAATAGCACATTTCCTATGGAGATGAATAGTTTACAATACGAAATGTCATATGGTGTCCTGGGTGGGATCCTGGAACAGACAAAGCATAGTAGGAGAAAACTGGGAAATCCACATTCACTGTGGAGTTTAGTTCACAGGGATGTACTGTGATTGTGACAAGCGAACCCCAGTAATGTAGTAATGAAAGAGGGAACTGAGTGAGGGGTACACAGGAACTTTCTGAACTATCTTTGCAACTTTTCTGTAAGTCTATGAATATTCTAAAATCAAAAGTTAACTTAAATTTTCAAGCAATTTTTGTTTTATTTTACCATGGCTGGGTAGATTTTCAGATATTTAATGCAGGAAGTCCCATCCAGCTAAAACCAGATTTCAGAGATAGGCAGGCACCAACGAAAACCCAACTGAGCCTGGCGCAGTGGCTCATGCCTAGAATCCTATCAATGTGGGAGGCTAAGACAGGAGGATCACTTCAGCCCAGGAGCTCGGGGATATAGTGAACTATGATCACTCCAGCCTGGGATACATAGTATTTTTTACAAAAATATTTTTAAATTATCCAGGCATGATGGCATGCAGCTGGGTCCTAGCTACTCAGGAGGCTGAGGTGGGAGGATTGCTTGAGCCCAGGAGGTTGAGGCTGCCGTGAGTCGTGATGGTGCCACTGTACTCCATCCTGGGTGACAAAGCAAGACTCTCTCTCGAGGAAAAGAAAATAAAAAATGACATACTCAGGTTTTCTTTAGCTAAAAAATGTAGACAAAATTATTCTATCATGCTCTCATAGACACAATTTGTTGTCACAGAGAATTTTACCACTTAATTTTCAGTGAACAAGGTGACTTAGCAAAGAAAATTAATCCCAGATTAAATAATGTTTAGAGATATAAGATCCACTGCTCACCTGATGAAGTTCCTCAGAGGCTGGTTCTCACAAACATAAAGAATTCTCTGTTCCTCACAGTGAAACACATTCCTGATCTTCTCCATGATCTTCATGGCCATGATGGTCTTCCCTGAGCCAGGTAAACCGTGGACAAACAATTCCCTGTTCTTGCGGAGGCTTTTGGAGAAGATCTCATACTGCTGGGCTGTGAGCAGATTTAAAACCTCACAGCCGAGCTGGTCACTCAAGAGAGACCTGAAGCCGAGCAAGACAATCACCAGGGACTGCAGCAGGGCTTCCATGTGCTGGGTGCCTGCAAGGCGATAGGACAGTGGGTAATGCATCGGAGACACTGCAGCCTCCAAGGCCTCTGTGCTGCTCTCAGGACTCAGGCAGAGGACCTTGGCCCTGACACACACCTTCCCGGTGTAGCCCCCCACGTTCACCAGGTTCTGCTTCAAAGTAAAGGCGGTGTGAGTGCAGTAGTCCTGGCCCTCTGCATCCTGCTCCCTGAGAATGGTGTAGAGAATGGGGGTGCTGTTCTGTGCTATCAGCAGAGCATCACAGATGACTCCTGGCTTCTCCTGCAAGTTCAGGTCCATGGCCCAGCTTCTAGAGAGGATCACAATTCCCCAGGAGAAAGGTTGCACTTGCTTATTTATAACTCCTCTAGTCCTTTATGCTGTGAGAACAGCTCTTTCCAGAGGGATTCCAGAACACATGGCAAATGTCTTGGTGGCACTAGACGTGAAAAGAATGATAAATTAGGGGAAGGAGAAGAATCATACTGATTATGACAATTAATTGATTAATAGATTTGATTATTAATTATAGATATTTCAGATATTCTTTTATAAACATTATTATATTACAATTATAAAGGAAAGGAAGCTTTGAAATATCTAGTAAACCTCATCTAAACCCACATGTTTATTATGCCTTTGATCTTGAGAAATTCCTTGCATCCTTGGGACTCCCACAGAGCATTGTGTCCCTTCCAGGTACCAATTTCACTGTGAGGCTAGAGAATCTTTAAAAACATGAGAGAGGGGGCCAGTGCAGTTTTTCTCAAACCATAGGGTATCAGGTGAGGACTCCTGAGGGTATAGAATATTAAGAGAAATGTCTTTGGGGCTGGGCATGGTGGGTCACTCCTGCAATCCCCACATTTTGGGAGACCAAGGCAGGAGGATCATCTGAGCTCAGGAGGTCGAGACCAGCCTGGGCAACATAGTGAAGCATTATCTCTACTAAAAATACAAAAAATTAGCTGGGCATACTGGCAAATGTCTGTAATCCCAGCTACTTGGGAGGCTGAGGCAGTAAAATTGCTTGAGCCTGGGAGGTGGAGGTTGCAGTGAGCCAAGATTGTACCACTGCCTGGGTGACAGAGTGAGACTCTGTCTCAAATAAAAAAGGTCTTTGGGGCTGCTTGATTCAGAACTACCACCTCAGGTGCCAACTTTCTTTAATACTAATAACTCCAGTAATAGACAAAATTTCTATTTGAGACAGTCATTGCCTTTCTTCCAAGAGAAGCACTGACAGCATTTAATCTGAAGCCAAATTATTGTCAATCAATTCTAACCATTAGTGCACTAAGAACATCTCTATTCTTTTTTTTTTTCTTTTTTTAGCTCTGTAACCCAGGCTGGAGTGCAGTAGAGTGGAAGACCAGAGAGAATATTTTTAAAGCCAAGCTCTCAGGACATAAAAAGAAAGAAGAATCTCATCTTTTGATTTTCTTCCTTATGACAAACAACACAAAGACAGAGACAATACACACAAGGACTTTTTATTATTCCTGGGAGGCTGTGGATCATACCCAGAGCAAATTTGTAAAAGTTACAATTCAAAGAACTCATTCTTAAAATGTTTTTCTCCTGCTGATCTGAATTTGGAACGGAAGAGACAAGGAAAATTTTTTACGTTCTCCTCTCTACAGGGCACTGCAGATAGATATCTGGGAGAGCTAACTTTGGTAGGAATTCTTACCTTCTGCAGATTCTGTCAGCTCTTCCGGGATCCTATCCACAGGCTCTGCAGTGAGCGGCGCATCTCAACCTTTCAGTGTCCCATTTTCATTGCCAGAAACCACAGGGGAGACAAAATTTTACCTCTGTCCTCCTAGGGATTTTGGCTAGGTCTGAGAATTAAATTGACTTATGAGAGATTAACAAGAGAAAAACATACAGAGTTTTACATATAGGAGCCCCTATAGATAATTGAAGACCTAAAGAAGTTGCAAAACCTAAATGCTTATAAGTAGGATGAGCAAAAAGTGCAATTGTGGAAATGTGATTACATTAAGTTATGTGTGGAGGCAAAGGAAGATAAGGGTTATTTTAGCAAGGTCTGTTTGTACCAACTTACTTGGCTATAACCCCTGTCGAAGAATGTTTTTCCTTCTCCTGGTACAGGGAAATCATCTTTCACATGGGACTTTTGTCTCCTGCTTTCAGGAAGAAAAAACATTAAGATTCCCTTTTTGCATCTGCTATCATTATTTCAACAGTTTTGGAGGAACAGGTAGTATTTGGTTACATGGATAAGTTCTATAGTGGCAATTTCTGAGATTTTGGTGCATCCGTCACCCAAACAGCATACACTGTACCCAATGCGTGTAGTCTTTTATCCCTCACCCTTCTCCCACCCTTCCCCCAAGTCCTCAGAGTCCATTATATAATTTTTATGCCTTTGCATCCTCGTGTGCTTCTGCTATTTTCAAGTGCCTTCAGCTCAAAATAATCCTTATGCCAAAATGGAGTATTTGGGAGCAACAGCAATATTTGGGAGCAATATTCCCAATATTTGGGAATATTTGGTACCTTTGGCCAAACAGAGGTTTGCTTTACAGGCCTCCTGGGTTCTGTGCCTGGCAACTGCACAAGGAGGGTACACCCACATGCCAGCTTCCCACAGTGACCCGTGGGGAAGCAAGGAAAGAAGACTGTTTCTGTCCTAATTGTGTTGCTCTGTTGCACAGTTCCCTAAAATGTCTGCCCCACCCCCCAGCCCACCCTGCCCCATATTTAATGGAGGTAGGTGAAGAGCTTTTTCCTCCTTTACTTGCCCATCATCCTCTTCTTCCCTGTAGGCGTGAGTTCAGGCTGCTCATGAAACCAACTGGAACATAAGGGGTGCTACTGCCCTGATAATCTTGGCTCCTTGCTCAAAGGCACCGAGAACTACCTCTCCCTAGGCTGCAATGTGGGAAATGCCTCATATACTATATGGGAGATTGCAAAGAAAGGGGTCACCAGAACAATCAACCCAAACAGGATATAAAATGGAATGTATGCAATGATTACAACTCTGCTAAAATATATCTGCTGGTGGACTAGCCCTGGAAATGAACAAGCAAAAATGAAAACAACTGCACGATGTGGCAGTCATAATAGGGATGGAATTTTCTTTTGTGGTTTTCCATTTTCTCATCTTTCTATAATGTCATTATATAGAACTTGTAATGACAGGTATATCTTTTATGTTTCTTAGTATATAAAATGCTATTCTCTGAATGTTTCCTATTATGTAAGTCATTTAAGTAATCATATTGATTTTGTAGAAAAATTTTAGAGGCTAAGAATACCATCAATATTCTAAGCGTATTTGATCCAAGTCTCAACATAAAACCAAATGAATTCCTGTCTACATGGAAGAAGCCTTATGCCTTTTACTTTGATGTACAGGCAGGCAGAAGAACATAGAGGCTAACATGGAATTTGGAGCCAGACAGACATGGGTTCAGATCTCAGATTCAGAACTTACTAGTTCTGTGATCTTGGGTAAGGTGTTTATTATTTATTTGTTAATTTATTTCCTTATTTGTTTATTTTTAGAGATAGAGTCTTGTTGTGTTGTCCAGGCTGGAGTGCAATGGTGTGACCATGGCTCACTGCAAACGAATTCCTGGGCCTAGGCAATCTTTCCACCTCAGCCTCCCAAGTAGTTGGACTACAGGTGTGTGCCACCATGCCCTGCTAATTAAAAAGAAAACTGTAGAGACAGGGTCTCTCTATATTGCCTAGGCTGGTCTCAAACTCCTGACCTCAAGCAATCCCCTGGCTTTGGCCTCCTAAGATGCTGGGATTGCAGGCATGAGCCATCGAAACTGGGCCTAAGTATTTGTCTTTTAAGTCATAGCCTCCTCAGCTGTAAATTGGAGCTAGTAAGGTCTAAAATTTATTGAGAGCTTTCTACATACTATGCTTTATATAAATGTCATTTTTATTTTATTTTTTCAATATTTATTTATTTATTTATTTTTTGAGATGGAGTCTTGCTCTGTCATCCAGGCTGGAGTGCAATGCATCGATCTTGGCTCACTTCAACCTCTGCCTCCCGCACTCAAGCGATTCTTCTGCCTCATTCTCCCAAGTAGCTGGGATTACAGGTGCGCACCACCACACCCAGCTAATTTTTTTTGTATTTTTAGTAGAGATGGGGTTTCACCATGTTGGCCAGGCTGGTCTTGAGCTCCCGACCTCAAGTGATCCACCCGCCTCAGCCTCCCAAAATGCTGGAATTACAGGTGTCAGCCACCATGCTCGGCCAGTGTCATATTTATTTATTATTTTTATTGTTTTCAGATAGTATCATTCGCTGTCCCCCAGGCTGCAGTGCACTGGCCCTATCGCAGCTTTCTGTAGCCTTGACCTCCTGGGTTCAAGTTATCCTCCTACCTCAGCCCCAAAGTAGTTGAGAGTGCTGGCATGTGCCACATGCCTGACTAATTTCGGTTTGTTTTGTTTTATTTTGTTTTGTTGTTGTTTTTGTACAGATGGGGTTTCACCATGTTACCCAGGCTGGTCTCAAACTCTTGGGCTCAAGTGATCTGCCTGCCTCGGCTTCTCAAAATGCTGCGATTACAGGTGTGAGCCACCGTAGTTAGCCTAAGTGGAATATTAACTTTCAATCTTCATCTTTATCTTAAGCCATAGGTATGAATTTTATCTCTATTTTATAGATGAGAAAACTGAATCTTAAAGAGGTAAAGTAACTTGCTCGAGGTCATCCAGCCAATTAAGAATAGAGTTGATCTGGCACCTGTACTCAAGCTCCTTTTTTTTTTTAGACAAAGTCTCGCTCTGTCGCCCAGGCTGGAGTGCAGTGGTGCAATCTTGGCTCACTGCAACCTCTGCCTCCTAGGTTCAAACAATTCTCTGCCTCAGCCTCCCGAGTAGCTGGGATTACAGGCACCTGCCACCATGCCCGGCTAATTTTTGTATTTTTAGTAGAGACGGGGTTTCACCATCTTGGCCAGGCTGCTCTTGGACTCCTGACCTCATGATCCACCTGCCTCGGCCTCCCAAAGTGCTGCGATTACAGGCATTAGGGCAGCTAAGCCTTCTCCTTCCCTTGTGAATCTACGCCCAGCCCAGATTCAAGCTCTTAACACTGCCTTATCCTACCTTACTGCTTTACATAATTCAAAGACTGGCTGGGAGGTTAAAACATATATTTCTAAAGCAATGTGCACCATGTCTAGCATATACTAAGCACTTAATATATGTTAGTTCTAACCATATATATCAGAGGAGAAATGAATGGGACTGTAAAGGTATTTTGATATATGAGCCATTGACTGGTGGGGTTTGTCATACTTGGCTGGCTAAGAAGAAAGCACCTGTTTCTTTCAAGCTGTACAACTGGGCAAAGACAGCCTTCCTTGATTAAAGCAGGAATGAGGGACTTTATCTGCAATTGGCCCAAGAGAACTCTGAAGCA